CTTCCCGCCGTCTCTCACGGTCCCTCTCTCTCATTATTGTCGACCACATTTGATACATTACTTAGATAGAGATTGCGCAGTCCATTCTCTATGGCCCGTATTCAGAACGTCACGCATATTATAGAATTTCAGAGATAAAAGCGCACTTTTATCTCTGAAATTCTATAATATGCGTGACGTAGGCCCGTATTCAGAACGCGCTTTTATCGATAAAAGCGCACTTTTATCTCTGAAATTCTATAATATGCGTGACGTAAAGTATGGTATGTTAGCGTGCTAACATCGTTGTAAGCGCGTTCTGAATACGGGCCTACGTCTTTGGTGCGGACTAAGTACTTGATACGTCCCTATTTACACCCACTTGTCTAAAAACAGGTTAAGGCTGATATTTATAGTCGGTTCTTATTTTAAGACCGTCTTAAGTAATGTCTTAAGACGCTAATGCAGCCTTCTGATTGGTTCGTGACTTCTTAAGACTGTACTTAAGACAGTCTTGAATATAAGATCTGATATGAATACCGGTCTAAGTTAGGGGTTTTTGGTCCGAATAAAGTCTCAACTTAACAATTTGTATTAATAAATGACAAAAAATTGTGAGTGACTATCGGTTTATCGTCGCTGATCCTAAATCTCTGTTCTTGTCTGAGCAATTAATTGTGGAAATAATGGAAGAAGTTGCAATTACATCATTTATACCGTTATTCCAAATTTTAATTTTATTTTAATGTAACCTCTTATTTTGACTCCTTTTACACCCAGTACTTAGGGTGTATTCCGAACCGGATTAGTTTAGCTTATTTTTTCCCTTAGATGTTGGCAGTTCCGTAACTAAACCTATCGGCCGTCAATTCAGCTACTGGCTTCTATTGGTTACGAGTTACGACAGGTTTGGAACATTCCTCGGTTTAGTTACAGAACTGCCAATATCTAGGGGAAAAAATAAGCTAAGCTAACCCGGTGTTCGGAATACACCCTTAATACGCGTATTAACTAGTAACTTTCTATTAAATTATTTCAATTTCAGCAATGTATTTGAAGAATAATGTATTAAATTAATAAAATATGCATCGAAATAATTAATTAAATAAACATATCGGCCCGGATTCAGAACGCGCTTACAACGATGTTAGTACACTAACATACTATACTTTACGTCACGTATATTATAGAATTTCAGAGATAAAAGTGCGCTTTTATCGATAAAAGCGCGTTCTGAATACGGGTCATCATGTATATGTTTACATATAACGCTAAAATTAAGATAATTCAATAGAAAGTTACTGGTTAGTACTAGAGTTATCAGAGAGGCGCAACCGGTGTTATGCATTCTGATTCTCTGTTGCAATCTAACCAATTGCGTGACTTGGCAGCCATTTATAGTACTAGTGACATATTTCTATTTCATTTTATCCTATACATTCTATCTCACATTATCCTACACGTCTTATCTTGTTTGACATAGTTTAAAAGCAGTTTCATAGCATGTTGGCCCTGTTTAGTACTCTCCTTAGCACCTTTGTCATACTGACTTAAGGAGGTTGTAAGGCTGAAGCGGGCAGTGAGAGGGGAATGCTTTAATACATAAGAAATATGGAGTGTAGCCAACATTTGAACATTAAAATTTGAAGAAATAAATAGCTAAAATTTTAAAAAATATGGATTATAATGCAATTGAAATGCAAAAAATATTAGTGTTTATTTGTGTAAAAGTTTTAAAGATAAACATATATTTTTTAGAACAATAAATATTTTTAGCTCAAGAAATGATTTGGCAACGGTGTAAAACTGAAAAATCGAAGTTGGTAACACTGCAAACTGCAATTTCTGACTGCAATGTCAGACGGATAGATAAGGTTAACATGACGTTATAAATGTTTCTTTGACAAGTCATTTAGTACAATTTTTTTTCTGTGAATAGTAAATCAAATGCTTAGAAGCATTTGTAGTGAGAGTTTGACGGCACTACTCAACTGATAGAATATTCTTGATTCGCGATGATGAAACAACGTTGCCACATTTTCTCCATCAAACAGTTTCAATGACAGAAGTATCACATCTTTGGTTATATTTTTCACTATTGTTAATAAACTGAGTGGTAAAAGTTGTTTTAATGTTCAAATATATTTTTAATATGCTATACTTTATATATTAAACATAAATTTATTCGATTCTTAACATTTCAAATATTAATATTTAAAATGTTAAGAAATGTTGAAAACAGATACATAGAGTCGAGTCTCCTATAAGAGAAAGAGAGATAGTCTATTATAAAATCCAGAATTTTGTTATTAATTTACAGAAAAATGCGCTGATCAAAAAATCTAAAAAATTTACATAAAATCATGCTTTGTAGATAAAGCTATGTTCCAAATTTCAAGCAATTCTTAACATATTGCATTCTCCTTACAACCTCCTTAAGCCGGTTGCGCCTCTCTGATAAATCTAGGACTCTAGTTAGTACGTGTATCGCAATTGCACAATGTAAACTAGGCCTTTATTCCTGTTACGTCCGGTAGACTCCACGATTTCTTTGTTTCGCGACCGTTCAATCAACGAAGTAAGATATGAACAAATCCAATTGATAACACAAATCCGAGAGAAGTTTCCAGCCACAAAATCTTGTTTGCCTAGAATCGAGAGATCCGTGATAAAAACTCTCGTAGTGCGACAATCAAACGTTAAATCTCCTTTCGAGCATCGTGGAAAATGAAAGTCAATATCAAATAATCACCAAATAGCGTTGGTACCAAGGCGCTAAGCCAAGTCACGAAATGATTGTCTAGAATCGAAAGACCCGCGATAAAAACTCTCTCATAGCATTGATTATCAAACCTCTTTTTGAGCATCGTGGAAAACGAAAATCAATATCAAATAATCATCAAACAGCGTTGGTACCAAGGCTAAGCCAAGCCACGAAATAATCCCCG